CGAGAATTTCTCTAACATATTTTTCACGATATGCAATCATCGTTTATGATAGATTATTGTACTTACTGTTTAAAAAATTTCTTACAAATAACGATTTTCTTCGACGATTTCACTATAGAGCATTTAACTGCAAATTGACAATAAAAATGTTATACTAGATATACATCTTTGTAGTATTCCAACATCATTTTGAGGAATTACTGTCATATCTTCATAATTGGGTTACCTAATTATACTAGTCATAAAAAATGTAGCAAAATTCTATATAAAAATTTTTTGCTGTAGTTTTTGCTCTCACCGTAAGATTTGAAAGAATGTGACTTTTACGTCAAAAAAATGCCCCATACATAATATAGTTTACAGCACTATATGTATAACCCACTTTCTAAAATACTCTTTACCACACATCACTTCAGTGATAAAAGGATCAATCTGTTATTAATTATTGCGATTCATTATGAGAGCGATTTGTTAAATTATGTTCGGAAGAAGATAAAGCACAGATATACGAAAGTATACCGGTCCGCGTAATTAAACCAAATTTTCGGCCAAGTCAGCACATTAATCAAGCGAATTTCGCCGCCATCTGTGACCCTAGTTGATGTCATACACGGATATGGTTTACGCGCGGCAGGTGGTCGCGTCGGCTGCCCTTTATCGGGAATTTATTTCTGTACAATTCTCCAATGCTTGTCTATATATGTATACGTCGTTTTAAAGAAGTTAGTTCTTAATCGCTTATAATTTTAAAAGAATTCCAACTAATCTGAATAAAATTCATGTAACGCACAATTTATAAATATATTTTAGTAAATCATGTTTCACTCTTCTTATAAAAGTTATAAATAATATCAGATTTTTTGAAGAATAAATTTTTACAGCAGAATGTTTATGGACAAAAGGATGAGAAAATTTTTTTTCGAAAAAGAAAACTGACGATTTTTAAAACTGTTTGGAAAGTTGAAGAGAAAGAGGGAGGAGAAGACGCGAGTTGCGAAAAGACAGCCGAAGCGGCGAATCGTGAACATCAAACGAATTAAATCTCTGCGGAGAACCGACCGCAGAAACTAATATCTCGACGCTTCTTCCGTCCGTCCATCCGTCCGTTCGTTTACCGTTTCGTCGTCGTGTCTCAACATCTTTGTCGTTCAAAATTCTCGTTCGCTTTGTCTTCGATTTCATTTGTCAATGCATTCTCGGGTCGCTGGTTTTAGGAGACTAAAAATAATTGTTAAACTCTCAGGAGAATATTCGATGTAAACGAAAAGTATGCAACGAAGTCGAGAAATGTATTTAATTGAATTAACTCTCCTTTCTCTCTCTGTCACGAATAATATAAAATTGCAATTAGTTAAGAATGATACAAAATTAAAATTAATAGATTGATACAACATCGCAACTTGGATAATTATCATATAAAAAAATGCATGTCTTTTTATTACATGATTCTGAAACTTTTGAACTTTTTATAATAGTTTTTTTTCTATTTTTCTATATGTATGTTGCACTTGAGTTGCAGTACGTGTAATCGAATCAATACGCCATTCGCGAAAGGCTCGCCTTCATTGCAAAGTATTTAATAATCTCCTCTTTAATTATTTTCCTGAAGTCTATAAATCGGAAATTAATTTTCTCCTGAATGCGCGCGCGTTATTATTAATATTTCTATCTACGTAACATTGATTTCATCGTAAATATAGCTAAATTAATATACATTGGAAAATAGAATATCTGCTAGACATTTAACATAAATGTTCAATCTACTTATTACTCGCGCACAGAATTTATTGCATTTTTGTTTCTTTAGTATTACGACTACGTGTCTTCGTCAATTTAATCAAACGTTTCCAATACAAACGCAATTAAGAATATGTTTGACAGAAAATAATGAAAAAAAAGCTACAGATATATAATACATCCATAATTAACGTTCATTCCTCGGCAAGATTCTGAGACGTTTAGACTAACGGTTAACTCTAAACGTAAATGTCAGCTATTAGAGAAACGGGGCGTGAATTGAACGAAACACGTGTTACACTGTATTTTCGAGTTGCGTTCAACGCCAAGCGCGCTTGTACTCTCATGCCCAATTAACGTAATAAAATGATTAGGAATGGTATAAGAACATGTACCATTCTTTCAAAATAAGGTGGACTGTCTCCCCGAAAACAAGACATCCGGTCACCTTATACGCGCGCATGACATCGCTCGTGCGGTGAGAGTTTTTAAAGTGGACTGTACGGTCGGGTTGCGCAGGTGTGACCGATGGCGGCGGCCTTTGATCCTGGAGCGACTCTTCGGCTACTTTGTCCACGACTCATCGCGCCCGTCTCCCCCCCTCTCTCTCTCTCTCTCATCATTCGATTCGATTATTTCCTAATGACTAACGCCATTGCGAAAACAGCCATCGCGCATATTCCCTGGTAAACATTAGGCAAAGTAAAAAAGGCACGGGGTCGCTCTGGTTATTGGACAACGACGTTAATTGACAATATTTTCCTCGTTCCGAGAGTCAACGCCGAGCATAACGAAAATTATAAAACGGGAACCGGTATTACGCGACATCATCCGCTAATAGGATACGACGACGAGCGGTGATTATTTTAGGAGGGCTTTACGAGGAAACGATTAGCCAATGAAATCGATACGGCAATTTTCTTGTCAAGCCTTACATACCGAATAGATTTTCTACGAACTATTCAATCTAAAGAGATCATCTATAGAAATAATCTCTCAACGGATATTTAAATATAACCTCACTGATATATAAATACAACTTCACGTGCTTTAATCTTGACAGGTAACAGGCTGCAACGTGTATTCGAAAAATTGGGTTACAGTTTTGCACCTTCATGAAACAACATTCAATAAGATAGGGCACAGAAGATTGCTTTAATTGGCTATTTAAACCGGCAATTAATTTATAACAAGCTAATTTTTTAAAAAATTACCGCGTTTACGAGGTCGATAAGATACGGCGGAAATTTTTAAAGAACATTTTAAAGCAGCAATCCAATCTCCCAGAAGGTACCTCGATATAAAAAGCTTTAATAAAATACTATTATAATAAAATAAAAATACACTAATAGAGGATATTTAAACCAATACCTTGAGTGAAATAACATTTTTTAAATTTTTGACTACTATGTGTGTCGAAATTTATTATTTTAACACACAACAGTATTATTTTAACTTCATTGGTTTAGTCAAATTGACATTATTAAAGTAACCACATAGTAGGAACAGTGGCGACCTATAGGAATGGTTAAAAATGAATACTTAAATTGAGTATGATTTGACATTATGAATTTAACAGTGTAATATCGCAAAATGTAAGATAATATCCGCACAGACCTGATCTATTATAACTACAAATCGCTTTAGGGCTAAAGGCGAACGTCTGGTAGAAACATTTTGAGCTACAGCCTTAGCTAGCAACCGAGAACTATGATAGTTATGGCTCTCGGAATTCCGTGGACTGAGCACCGTAACGAATGCGTAATACTTTTATGGGGAGAACCCTTCCATGTCTCGAAAATACGTTTAATTTGTAGCCCTCAGAGACGATTCCGTGAACTACAATTCCAACGGCGGTCGCCTGAAAAAAACTTCGATTCGTTTTGCATGTCCCGATCGCTGCGGGATTATGAAATTTTGATTATTATATGTGAGCACTGGGCATGTGTACGTATACAATATAGTACTTCAGAAGTTTTTTTATACAGAAGAACACTGGCGCGGCGTAGATTTTTTTGGAGAAATTAAAGTAAACTGAGGTCGAAACGCAAGGAAATTGAGTCATATGCTGTTTAGAGATTTACTTCAACTGCTTAAAACTTTAATGCGTAAAAAATGCCTAACTTTGTTACGTATGAAACTGTTCCTAAAACGCTGTTAATTGCAGCTGTGCCTCAATCTTTGACCGTGTTGCTTATTGGCAATCTCGTGAAATTAATTGGTAATTATCTTGTCCCGATTATGTGTGTATAACTGTATAACATATGTATCTAATATTTATTGATGCCTTTGTAAATTCATGCAGTATAGAGAAACTCAACGTAAACGTTGGATCAATCTGCTGTAATATAATATTTTTCTTATCGTGTCTCTCTATCTCTTGCCTTATTCCCACACGCGGGATTAACTGCGCATAACGCACGTTAAGTAAGTGGTGAAATCGATAAAACACGCGGTGCGGCTCTAAACATTCATTTAATTTCCTAATATTCTTTTCTCCTCTCGTGCGACCGTCGTATTTTACACCTAACGCGTTTTCACGGAGAATTTTTCCGCCATGTAGCTTCGCGAACGATTACTTATTGTTAGACAACGTCAGCGATAAAATCTTAATACACCGCTATTCGTATCAGTAGCTAATTATCGCATTGCGTTCCCGAGAGACACGGCTCGTCGGGACCGACGAACGGTCTTGTTATCGGCAGGATTTAATTGCCGCTGAATCGACGATTCATTTGCGCAATACCCGCGCCTTCGCTCATTCATTATCCGCGCGCGCGATAACCGGTGCGGTGCGCCGCGCCGCTACCACGAAGGCAGAATCACTTTCAGATCTTTCCGCGAGAAACCGTATGGATCAGCGATAAAATTATACTTCGTCATAAAACGATCCTTCAATTATTTTTGTTGATCATCACTCGCTTCTTAGAACATTACTTCTTGTTACATTTTTTGCAGGTTTAAAGTTTGATTGTATGTGCACGTTTGCAAAAAGTGGAATAAATTATCTTGCATGTGTTTAAAGAATAAGATTTTCGTATTAAAGTTATTTAAAAAATTTAAGAGTAACATTATTTCATGTCTGAACGGCAAAGATATGTTCACTGAAGATATTGAAAATAACAAAGTCACAGACTGATTGAAATTGTAAAAAAGAAAACTTTAAATTGGTTCTGTGTACATTTGATGTATTGATTCGCTACGCAATGTGTTGAAATAAGTATATAAACACGACTAACCGTGTCTAATTTCTCATGTTGCAGAGCAAGCCAATCACTTGAACCTGTTCAACAATCGTCAGCAGCCGAAGAAGAAGCGCAAGAGTCGGACCGCGTTCACGAATCAGCAGATATTCGAGCTGGAGAAAAGATTCTTGTATCAGAAGTACTTGAGCCCAGCCGACAGGGACGAGATCGCCGCTCAGCTGGGTCTGAGCAATGCCCAAGTGATCACGTGGTTCCAAAACAGGAGGGCGAAGCTCAAGAGGGACATGGAAGAGCTTAAGAAAGACGTACAGACTGTGAATCCACTTTTGGTCGCTCAACATCACAAGACTTTCCTAGAGAACGTGCAAGATCTGGGAATCTTGAAGAAACGACCATTGCCAAACTCCATGGACGAGAAATCGTAGAGGTCGACTCGAAATTTCGCCTCTTCGACTTTCTGTGTGCAATCGAGGCTCGACGGGGGAATCGGACAACGGACAATTACTCGTGTAATATCGTCAAGTATTTTTGACCGAAAGGAAAGCTCGAAACGTCATACATAATTTCATGTTACGGTGTATTATTCGGAGACAAGCACGTACGAAAATTATTTTAAGCGCCAACGAATGCATTTTATACGATACGGTTTTCTTTTTACGTACGACCCAGTCGCATTTTAATATTCTTTCTTGAAGAAATTGTGAAGAGAAAGTTTCATGATAAAGGATATCTTCTAAAAGTTATCTGTTTAATAATCTATTACCATTCAACGTTCAAACTTCTTTTTTTCTCAAAACTGTAAACTGTTTACGTTATTATTTCATCCAATCTCTCGACAAGAGAATATTCTATTTTCTATTCTATCCATACAATGGTCCAGTTTATATATACTGAAATATGACTGATGCGAAGGAGAAAAATATATCACTTTACAATTTTCAAAAGAAATTTTCGTTGTGCTTGTTAGAACTGAAAAAAGTGGCGTTCTTATGTCGTAATTTACGGCTTTAAGTGGAAAGCGTATCATAGTCCGCTGCAATTTTACGCGCAGAGCGCGGTGTATTATAATGTATTTATTATAAAATGGAGAAAGTGTGAGAGGAATGGGCCGTGAGGAGGGTCCCGGTTAAAACGGTCGATAATAAATTATTAAATGAATATTATTCCGTAAATTATAAATAACCACGCGTTGTGGCGCCATTGTGTACATATATTGTATATAGGTATACATCGTTCCCTTGATAATGTTACGTATAGGCATGATAGAGACCGTTATACATTGATTAGAGTTAAAAGAAATCATAAGAGCATAGATGGGACACTGCAATATACCTGATTATGAGTTTAATTAGTGAATTTTAGGAGCGAGTAAAATGTATATCTGCATACGGCGATTCGTAAAGTGATAGTGAGGTGCGTGAGACTAAAAACTAGGAGCGCGTGTGTAAACCGACTTAGTACAGTGTATAGCGAAGCTAAATAAATGGAAACATTATTGAAACTGTTTCTACATCTACTTTTTCAACTTCTTCAACCATAATCTTTCCTTTCAATTCTCCTACAATACCCTATAAACATGACACAGGCAAAACTTTGCGAAATGCAATTATCTTCACTTTGTTTTTTTTTTAGTAAAAAGTTCATATTTATATTATTAAAATGTGATCTTTTTCCATGGAAGAAGATATAAGATAACAAAAAATCGCATAAAAATCGTGTCATTTTTTCTCGAATTGCTTTAACGAGGATAGATTTATATTTTATTGCGGTTTGGCGTAATACTATGCGTAAAAAAGGCTCGACGTGCGTTGGCGTGCAAGGAGCCACAGAGATGCAGTACACGAAGATGAAAAGGAATTATTCTCCAAAAATAGCGTGTACCGCGTTGCGGACCTTCCGAGAATCTTTTTGAAGCCATTCGCGAGGTTTACCCAGAAACGTAATTTATTAAGATGAAGTCATTTCGCGGGCCTTTTCCTCGTTGTATCCGTCGGTACGGAGTCTGGCACTCGTCATAACCGAACGCTTTTGCTACCGATAGATTAGAACTCGAGTCTGCGAACCGGGAAATACTGAAGATATGTTGCAATATGACTACACCCAGAACGGTATACGTTTCTATCTTCTCATATAAAATAAATTCGAGATTATAAATATACAATGTTTAAAAAAGCGCGTTTGCCTGTAGGAATTTAGGTAAAATGTCCACCTTTCTTTATATAATAATTTGATAAATAGTCATTGCTATACATCATCAATTTAAGAAGCCGACAAAAAACTTGTTAAAATAAAATCTATTTTAGATTGTCCGGAAAAAAACAAAGTTATTTAATCATTTCTCAAGTTAGTTTTTCTAAATTTTTCTAATTATGAAGAAGAGACATTAAAAGGCAGGAAAAATTTTACAACACAAAAATGAAGCACTAGCGTCAAAGAAAACACTCCAATGTTCTAGAAATGTTAATATTACAAGCTACACATACTTGCAAAAGCCGCCGGGCCCTTATTAGAAATGTTGAGAGAGCACTCAAGTATACACCCGAGAAGAGGCATATAATCAGCATATACTTAACGCGCGTAACACACGTATTTACATCCGTTATAAACATTCTAGATTCGACTCGATTAATCTATTGCGATGGCAGTAGCACGCGTTTTATATCAGAGATAATGACGACAAGTTAATGATAGACTCATTAACGAGGCCTCATATCAAACGATTCCGTTTAGCATCAGATATTCAAGTAACAGGAAGCAGGTTGGTAATGTCGAGCTATCTGCTCGTATATCATGCATTGCGAGGCTCATCGCTGATATGCGATTAGCTGCGCTCTATTTACGGCACTTATATACTTTATATGAAAAATATTTCCAAGCTTCTCCGCGTTTTCATATAAATTCTTATCTGCGAAAATTCTCAAATATCCGGCTCTTTAAGAAATCGACTGTTTATTGCGCTCGTTATGGGTCGGCCTGATCGATACATGCGATCATTGGAAAGCAAAGGCTTCGATAATTCCAAGGTTCACAAGTATAAAAAACTGGAATGTTTAAAGAACAAAAATATTAAAAGTTACCGCTCCGAAGGATGTTTAAGCGCGTAAAACGCATGTGGAAATATTTCCATTTTATAGCGTACCGTTTCAAGACACACAGGTCGAAACAAAGTAACGCGACTTTCGTACGAACTTGAACGAATGCGAGGACGTTCGTAGCCATCGCTGATATCGACGGGCCCTTATATGAAGCAGTAAGCAAGGTAGCCCATACCGCCCTGTAATTCAGACGCCGCAACATCCAAATAAAGAATTCATAATGGCGATGATGACCACCGCCAATTTTCTCGATATATCGGATACACCAATAATTCAGGCGATCTCCGATCGGAATATGAGCGTGCGATATCATTCATTGTCTCTCTCTCTCTCTCTTTCTCTCCTCGCCCCGCGTGCCCTTCGGTGCGCATTAAACGGGTATCTGTGAAATCGCGCAAGTAACGCGCGACATTAACGAATATATCGTTTAATCGCAACAATTTAGCCGAACTCCATACACTTATATTCTTATATGTCAGCTTTAAGGCAAGTGTTTTATTATCGCGATCGCGATACGGATATATACGTGAGTCATATACGGCATTACTACTCCCATCATATTGGCAATTAATTTACGATTCGCTTAATGTCGCGAGACCCTCCCCCCCACCCGACTCTTAATTATTTTCGATATATTGCTCCGTAATTAAATGGCATTACGAAACGGTGCTCGTTAATGCGGTTCTCGGAGACCGAGTTTATTCAACGTATAGATTGAACTGCAAAATGAATGTTATTACACATCAGATTATCGAAATATTAATTTCGATAATTAATCGTGGTAATTATCGGCGGCAGGCAAACTGCCCTCGTTTACTCGGCGAGCTCTTGCACGAAGCCTCCAATCGATTCGATTAAAAACTTGTCTCTTCATTTCGTTTAATTGAATTTCGCGAGTTTACTCCCCAGCAATTCTGGGCATAACATTGAGAAAGTAACGACAAGTAACAATTATGAAAACATTAATTCGCATTTTAAAATTTTTCAGAAGGACGTATATAGATATTTTAACAACAATGTTTTGTACATGTTATTATTATGTGTGTCAGAAATAAAAAAGACATAAATCAATTCGTGTAAAAATCGTAAAGCCGCATCATTCCGGTCGCCCAAGACATCATTCCGAAGCGAAGCGATCCTTCCAGCCATTTAAAGCTAACGACTTGTTCAGGTATCTAAAGTGACAAGAACGACAGCCCATTGATGATAAATGAGATCGTAGGATATTAGAATTTTCTACGGTAACACAGCCGCATTCTAAATATATAAACTTCTCGCGAGTCAAGATTCACTCTAAAATAACCAGGTCGAATACAGTCTATAACCCGTCTCACGCTACGCTAATTTGTCTCTATGCGAAACGCTACATGCAATCGTCGCACGTGTCGACGAACCGTGCTACCGATCGCCGGGCAAGATCGTGAGCGAACGCGTGCGGGAACATTATCCGGCGTTGTTTTGCATAAGCCCGCCAGAAGATACCTCGCGGAGCTCATTTTCCCGGCATTGACACGCCCACGTAATTCGGACTCATTTACTCGTTGACTCGCTTAACCCGCCAGCCAGTCATGCGTCAGTCAAGCCGGCGCGCGGAGCGCCGCAGATCCATAATTTCGATTCGAACCGTTTCAGCACGCGAGAAACGAGTCTCCCCGCTCCGCGCGGATGTAATTAGACGTGGATCTAGGCTCCGGCCCATCAGCGGGCCTCGTTAATGCGATATCTCGGCCTCGCTGAGTCTCTCCCCTCGCTACGACGAGCCGCCGATCCTAGCACGCCGTTCCTCTCGCCCTCCCGCGCTTCTATTTCGCGCGCTCGTTGTTCCCCTCTTTTTTTTTTCGATTCCTCATAGACTGACTTCTTTCACGTGGCTGATTTCTACCTGCGCGGTCTTTCATCTCGTCTTCGCCAACGAGGTCCATTTACACGGCGGGAGGACTTCTTTCGGGAGGACTAGCTACGCTATACGGGTTCAGCTAACGAGAGCTCGTAGCCCCGACGATGGAAGATTAATATGTGGGAGTGTTTAGGCGAGAGTGGGTGGGGGATCGAGACGATATATTATTCGCACGGTTAGAATCTTGCAAAATGTTGCCTTGCCATGGTTAGATAACGGATGATGAGTGAATATACCGGATTTTTATGATTTATGATTTTAACAGTAATGAGTGTAACGCGCGTGATAATTTATAAGCTACAAATATGTATTTTATATGTTTTGACAATAGAGCATCAATGCGGTTCTTTTGGAAACTTTATAATTTACTAGGATATTATAATGTTCGCACGTTTCATAAGAGAAAATATAATTTCTGTTCCTCGACGTTGCTGTAATTTCTCGCCTTATTCGATTCCGTCTAAGTGTGTCACGATTTCCCACAAAAATCGAATCAATCGCGGCGCACCTCGCCGTACTAATTAATAAGTCGCGCGAGAACAGACAGAGTCTGAGAAAACGCTAAGTGATTAGCCCCTTCACACGCGTTATCGGATAAAACCCGGGTCTGGGAAAGCCGCGCCGGTTCGCGAGAGAGCCGCGCGTTCCACAAAGATGGAAGTAATGGAAGCGCATAGGCGTGCGAGCTGTTGTTCGTCGTCGGCATCGTTGGCGCGAATGGGACAGCTGATGGGCCGGTGTCCCCGAGGGCGATCGGCCGAGACCAATCAGCGTTCGTTCGTCCGTCCGCACCCTAATGACACCTGCAGGCTAAAAAGCCATGATATTCAACAGCCGGACGCTAACGAACACTGCCGCGTATACCGCCGCGCGATGGAAACGCAAGGACGGAGATCCGACTGCAATACCTACCGTACGGCGTACATACAAAGTGCAAATTTACTTTAAAGTTTTTGTATGTATTTTCTCAGGTATTGATTATTTTTATATACTAATCGTATCACTTCTGTTTTAAATTTTCCTAATAATCAGCGAAAAAGAAACTCGAAGCGAGAGATAATTGATTTAATATATAATTTGAAAAATTTTAAACGTGACGCAGAAAACTGCCACTGCGGAATATCGTGGCGAACGGCATGGCGCACAGCCTGCTAACAAGAGGATGGTGCACGAGCGTTCACGGAGCGGTAATCTAATAACAGCCGATTCCCCGCAAAAAGGCCCTCCGTGTGCGTTAATTCCACCTTGTTTCGCGGATCACTCGAGGTGGACGGCGTTGCTCGCGAGGTGCTATGCGTGCGTATAGAATGATCACGAATTACGATGACGTCAGGTTGACGGAACGGAACGGGTACCGGATAGGTTAATGGTAAGGAGGCTCCGGGACCGAGAGGTAGGGTCTGCCAGCGGCTCGGCTCCTGATTACAGACCACCGGATACTCTACACTCTCGCTCTCACTTCGGTTATTGTACCGAGCGGTGCCGAGACACCACTATAGATCACCGACC